TATATAAATAAAAGCACCATATCTTCTTTATCCAGTCTCCAGTTGATGGGCAAATGGGCTGTTTCCAAGTTTTCTATTACAAACTGTGCCACTATAAACATGGGTGTGCCTATATCGCTGTGGTAGCATTCTTTTAATTCTTTTGGGAAAATACTCAGCAGAGGAATGGGTGGGTCAAATAGGACTTCTTCTAATCCTAGTCATTTGAGGTGTCTCCATGTTGATTTACACAGTTGTTGCACCAGTCTGCACTCCCACCAACAATGGAGAAGGGTTCCTATTTCCTCACACTCCAGCCAGCATTGGTTATTTGTTGATTTCTTGATAGCAGCCATTCTTTCTGGGGTGAGGCGGAATCTCAGTGTTGTTTTCATCTGCATCTCTCGAATGACCAGTGATGCTGAACATTTTTTAATATGTTTATTTGCTGCTTTTACTTCTTTGTCTGAGAAATGTCTGTTCATTTCAGATGCGCATTTTTGAATTGGGTCTTTCTGTTTGGGGGCTCCGATTTTTCTGAGTTCTTTTTACATTCTAGGTAGTAGACCTTTGTCTGAGGAGCAGCTGGTAAACATTTTTATAAGGACGTCTCCAGGGCTCAGGGGAGGCAGAAGGCAGAGTTTCTAGCTTTTCAGGGCTGGATCTTTAAATCTCTATGATGAGCACTGTTTCTAGACGTTTCCTTGATCCCTGAATGTGTGCCCTCCTGCCGGGCTCTCCCTTGGTTTCCATCCAGGAGTGGGGGATGTAGGCTGAACCACCAGCACGTGGTGGAACTTTTGCCCTGGAACTCGGTTCCCAGGGCTCAGTGATGGGGAGTTGGACGGATCCTTTGAGGATAGAGGGCGGTGAGGCTCAGCCCAGTGAGGGCTCTGCAGAGCTGGGTGCGGCAGAAGTCCTCACCTGTACTGGCAAGTGTGGCACATCAGGCAAAGCTACACACCCTGATGGTGACTCAGGAGGCTGTGACAGGATGGGGACGGGGTGAGCACGCTGCAGCAAGGGGCCATGCTGAGGCCGGACGGGGAGGCAGGCAAGAAAGGGGACGCTGGACCCCAGCCGTGGGGCATGTGCAGGCCAGGGGCACACAATGGTGGGCACCTGGGTAGCTCCCGGTCTGACAGCAGCAAGGAAGGGGCACGTAGGGGTGGCAGCCAGCGGGGTGCCGGTGCCTGGGTTCTTGCTCACCCTGTGCCACTGACTCTCACAGCCGCTTTGCTGTCCAGTCCCAAGGCCCACACGGCACTCGGGGCCCTGCCGACTCTTGCGCTCTGAGACTTGTCTCCGGAGCAGGACACAGTGGACACCTCAGAGCAGGGCTGGGCCCCCCGTCTTCTGCCTGTGGCGTCAGCAGGCCGGGCAGGAGGGCCAGGCAGACCAAGGCACCCTCGCCTAGATGCTGTCTAGAGGCCAGAGCTGCTGTCTCCCTTGGAAGTCCGGCTTCCGCCTTGCCACCCTCTCCAGCCATGTCAAGCAGGAAACCTGTGGCCCGGGGGCCGGGGGGCGCTGATGTGTCTGACGTCTCACAGCCAGCGAGTATCCCCTGCCTTCGCAGCAGGTGTGTGGAGAGGGGGAGAAGCTGCAGTCCTGGGGGTGCCCCCACTTTGGATCAGGATGGGGTTGAACCTGGGGAGAGGCAGGAGCACCAGTTGGAGGAGGTGTGGCTGTCCCGGCTCAGCCATGAGACTCCAGAAGGCACCCTGTGAGGGCCACCTCTCAGAGCTGTACCTCGTTAGCTGTGCCTACTGGGGGTGCAGGGGGCACCGTGAGCCAGGGGCTATTGGATGGGGTTGACATTTCGGTCCTGGGGGCATGGGCTTTGGGGGGAGCTGACATCACCGTGGGTGGGTACACAGGGGCGCCTCTTGTCAGCTCTCCATGGAGTCCAGGCTGGTGGGCCGGGTGGAGAAGCGGGCCTGGCTCCCGGGGGAGAGAGGAAGGGTTCGGGCAGTGCTAGAGCCGCCCTTTCCAGCAGAGAGAGCAGGAGGTGGAAGGTGGGCGAGGAGCATGGCTTTCCTTCAGGCCAGGCAAGGTGCTGGGGGGCTGGTTTCCAGTTCTGGCTCTGCAGCT